AATATCGTGCCTCTATTTGTAATCATTTTTATTTTGGTTCTTATTATTTTCAAATTTGGGCCCTTATTTGTAATTTTCCTTTAATTTTCTATTCAAATTAGAAATTTGCAAATATGTGCAAACCAAACTACCATATAGTTCCAAAAATAAGCACCCCTTTTTTACTATGGGGTGCTTATTTTTGGATATAACGTGATCAGTATAAAAACCTGTTTTTAATTTATATATAACTTGTTTTCTACTAGTATAAACTTGTTTTTTAACACTACAATGTCGAATATTATCAAATGTAGCTGTACCTCTTATACTATTAAACAAAAAAAAGAAGTAGTTGCTTATGTGAAAGAATGTGAAAGAAATAAAGCTGCATGTATTTTTATACTTGATAGTAGTATGGTTAGATGCTGGGTAATTGCAAGTGAAAATCAGAATGATGAAGTAAATCAACATAGTAAATCATCTGGTTCAGGTTGGAAGGCTTTTTATGCAGAAGGTAAAAAAAAGGTTATATGAATAGATCATTGAACAAAGAAAGAAAGGATTGGCTGTAACTTATACTATTATATGAATTAAAATGATAAAAATTTTAAAAGATCTAGACATATGGGGCCATTGCAGTAGAAAAGGCCGATACTGTCCAAAAATAAAAATTGAGTTTTTTGACATATTTGGATAAATTTTGACATGTGCTACATTTTTCAATTATAAATAAAAATTAATTTGCATAATAAAAAATTGAGATATTTTAAAAAATTTTCTTTATGAGACACATCATGAGATTACCTGATATAACTAACCAATCAAATCACGAAAAGTTTGATTAATCCAGATCAGTCCGAACAAAACAAACTCAATTATTTCAAAATTGTATATATTCCAGTATCGGCTCTTTCTACTGCAAAGACCCCATATTAGCAACTTTATTATTAGATTTTAAAGCATCAAATCATTAGATTCATGGATTTATGAAATGATATTAGTTGGTTTTATAATATTGCACAAAAATTTCTCAAAAACTTCTTGAACAAACTAATAAGTTGCTCAACAATTTTTATGCTTATATAAATAAACTTAGAGCTTAAAAATCTTTTAAGTTACAAAATATTCTCAATATAGATGAAACTTCTGTCTGGTTTGATATAGCAGAAAATATTACAGTTAATGAAATAGGCAAAAAAACAGTACATATTTATAGTTGTATTAATATATGCAGCAGATTATTATCTCTTTTTTATTTATTTATTTATTTATTTAAATTTATTTTAAGGAATGTGGCGACTTAGTGAAGTGGTTAAGTTGTCACACCCCCAAGCGGCATGTTGGCTAGGTAGGGGTTCAAAACCCACTAGTGATAAATTTTGAATATTCTACTTGTATGACAGCTACTGTCTTTTGACGATTAGTTAGAACAG